ATGCTGAGGCGCTGGAAGCGCGGTTAAGCGACACTGTCACTGTTCGCTTAGCGACGAGGACTTGTGTCACTGTGCCGAGGGTCCCTGTGAGCCTCGGTGTCAAGTTTCTTGAATTTAATAGCGTGGAACGTTGTCTTGTCTTAGACTTGGATGGAAGGTATGGTCTTATCTTTGGTAAAGCATGTGTAGAACAGATGAGCCATGGATTGATCGGAGGTCGAAGACGTTGGGCATGGGTGAGTCATGAACCCACCTCTGCTAAAGAGCAGAAGCGCTATAGGCGTGGGCACTATACCGAAACGGTCAATGTGCTAGATATCGAAGTATCCGAGTCGTTAAACACCAAAGGTGTTTTGGACAGGAGTCCCGGGCATGGCTTGAGGGCTGAACGTGATGTGGCACGTAATTTACCTTGCGCTGCTTAAGTATTGGAGCAGTCGCTAAATGCCAAGAGTGGTATGGTCGACCAAGAGCCGAGACATCGAGGCGAGGCCCCAGTGATGCACGTGGACTGGCACGTAACCCACTGAGCGCTGTCCAGTTGCTGCATGCCGAGAGTGGCATGGGTGGACGAGGTCCGAGGCATCAACGGTGAGGCAGAGTCTGCTGCTTACTGAACGGATTTTATCCGTTGACAAGTTTCGCAAGCGTGTATACTTGTGCTTACCAAATAACATACAGCTCCCACGAGGCAATATATCGTTTTTCTTCTGAAGTGAATACTTAAAGGGGTATCTTGTTCCTTAAACACAATTTTGTACTTAACAAGGTAATCAGTGCGAGGCATCCTATCCATGTGTGTCAGTCTATCATCCAGCGGATCGTGGTATAAGCCATAGCGCTGCAACCTGCGACATCCGACCTATAAAACTATTTCTTACTTTAGCTTTCATCAACACAGCACATGTTGTTTCCGACCCGTTCGCCATAAAAATCGCCTCGTCAATTGGCAACGTCGCCATTGTGGCCAGTAGAGCTTCAGCACTCCATATATACAGACTGGTCTTCCAAAACGTTGTGTACGGTAATACTATGATTGTAGACTTTGTGGTTCGTATAGGCAAAGTGACTTATCTCACTAATATCAGCGAAAATGTGATCGGTGAGCATTGTCTTAATAATACAGTCAAGATGCTTTTCGATGAAGTGTCACGCCAATTTGGTATTTCGGTGTCTATTGCATTGGACAAATATTCGCGCTGTACAGCTTAATTTTGGTAAATATGTTTCAAGGTGCTCGGCATCAGACTGGCTGACCATCCGCAAACAAATAGTCAGAAGGATTGCGTGAATTGCGCTTCGAAGGAAATCTATCTAGGCAATTACGCGAAGAGACAAGAGTTCTAGAACGAGTTACCCCCACTTATAGATTTTGCGCTGATCAATGCTGTACATGGCTCTACAGGCTTGACTCCATTGCACATTGGATAAAGAGAAGTCGTGGTATAAATAGTCTATCGTAATAATCATGATGACGACACTACATAATGATATTTTGTACTGCAAATTAGTTTACAAGACAGATGCTCTACCACTGAGCAAATTAAAACATTTTTGATAAGGATTGAAGAAAAAACTAGCTAAATCAAGTGGTGGAAGACTAGCACCAGAGTTGACATCCTACTTGTAGTTGCTGCTCACAACGCAGCGGTCGCGTGGCTGGTCTATATACTTGAGTAATGTCTTCATGAAACATTGGTATTTGTCGAAAGTCAAGGCATATATGAAGGTATATATGTTTTATGACGGTATATTGAAAATTGGTGTCGATGTTGTTGAATGCTGCTTTCACAATTAAATGTGATATAATGTGGACGGTAGATATGCCTATTCGATCGCAGTTCAATTTAAATCTCTTACGGTATCATATGTAATGTCGTTGCCTCTGATTATCATAGTCTTTTCATCCATATTGATTTTCTGCGATCTTCTTTACTTCCGACACTTTTAAATGTCGACCGGCCATTGCCCAATTTCATGTCTAGACTTTACGTGAGCGCTTTATATAAATTTAGGTAAACTAACATGTCATGGACATTCGAGATGTGGATAAGTTAAACTTTGCAAAGCATATTTGGACGTATTAACTGCAAAACCGTTGCCGCAATTTAAATCATACAATGCAGTAGCTTATTAAGCTATCGATAGTGAACTGAATGAAGCAAGTTGCCATACACTTAAGAGGCAATGACAAAATGATGAGGTTTATTGACTAGTAATTTGTGATACTCTGATTCTACTTTTGTCTTGCTATTTAGTTTCGGTGGAAATGAACGAGTGCAAAACATTATCGTATGGGCTAGATTCTGGATTGTTCGGGTGCTATGGATTTTGACGCTTGAAATCGATACCTTCTAACAGTATATTGAATACGAGATGATTCGCTTTGTTTGGAACCGCTTTTGAAGGTGCCACTATACCTGGTTGCACCACAGGATTCGTTGCTTTTGATGAAGAAACTTGAAGTTTCGCGATTTCATTCGTGAGAGAAGACGGGAATTTGACATTATTAGTAGAACGTTCTTCCTCGCGCTGAGGACTTCCAGCTCCACGGAGAAGCTTTTTAGTATATTCGATTTGACCTTTTCTGGTCGACGAGTCCTTATTTTTGGTCATGACTTTACCTGCACCGGCAGTAGAAATTGCAACGCTATTCACGAGAAGAGATGTAGTTGAAGCCATAATGAAAAAGAAGGCAAGGCGCATTTTACTGAGTCTGTAAACCTGCAACGGAATGACGTCTGTGGATGTACTTGAGCTCTTCAAAGCAAATTATCAAGTAAGATCTAAGTGCTTTGGCCTACGTATACTGTGTGTATAGACAGTTCTTAACATCATTGACGCGTGTCTAGCACAACTTGAAGCAGCTGAGTATTCTGGCTCCGTTTGATTTGGTGGCTGTAAATTTTCCAAGATACGAGAGCCAGCACATATGGTTTTCAAAGTGATCAGAAAGTGAAGCCATGTGTGGCTGACTGTATGATGCTTCAAAGATTTGCGCTTGAGCTTGGTGCCTGATGCTTGACCACATCCATATGTAAGGACTTTAATTCACCTGTTGTATAAATTATAAATCAGTTCGCATCGAGCTGGGTTCTAATCTTGAGCGCTTTTGGGGTGGCCAGTTCTTAAGAAGACATAGCTTCGACAATTCAGATTTTCTTAAAAAGTATTTGCTTTCTGAACTTGAACATGGTATCGCTTTGTATTTGTCTTGCTACTTATACATTTGATCCTGAGCCGGAAGTCATCAATAGAAAAGCTTCCGAAAATGACAGTATCACGTCGATGTTTGTCAAATTTAAATAAGTAAAGTAATTAGTATGCTTGATGTTATCTATCGTGCAGCATGAAAGGAAGGCATGATAGCAGCTTGTTAGCCTGGATGATATTTATAGCAAACTTTAGAGATACAACATGATTCAAGAGCGACCACAAGTCAATTGAAGCACCGTTTTCTGTCAATAGATTCAAAAACACAGACAATTGTTCCATTTCTCCAGTTCGTGATGATTTCTGGTCTAGAAAAGTCTTTCTTATCTGATTATGATGTGTGCAGCTTCAACCTACCTATAAGAACTCCAAAGCACCGAAGTATGTCATCACTCGAACTGAGTTTATCTGATGCGATACATTGCTAACCAGACTACACTGTGATCATCATAAGATCATGATTGATACAGCGAGTCTACCGTCCGTTGCAATATATAAATTACATTATAGCGGCACACTGCAGCCAGTCTCATGGTTGGTTCAATCTTCATTACTTGTACCACCGCCCGATTCCATGAGAAATACTTCGTACTGCTTATGCGGGAGAATGACAAGGCTTTAGAGTAGATTTTGCTTTCATGTATGTGCTGTATGTATGTCTTTATCTGACTGTATTAAGAAAAACAGAAAAATCAAAGAAAGTTTTAGAAGCAGGAAATGTGAATGTGCATAATCCTTCCACAACATTTAAATCCAATAAGACATCAAGCTTTACGCAGCACAAAAATGGTGCAATGCCGTTTATTGATCTATGATATGATTGAATGGCAGATAAAACTTCAATATTGCGTCGACAATTCAACGTATCACTTAGATTGAATTGCATGAATTGATTTCTCTCGTGACGGACAATACGCTGTTGTCCCTCGGACCACGAAAAATTGCCTTATTTACGAGTTAGAGCTAGTATTAGCATGGATACCGGAAGATTAGAATTCGGGCGGAAGGTCTAGGGGCCCCTACACAAAACAATTACTGCACTCCGTTTACAATCACTTTTTTCTGTTAAGACTTGTTAAGACTAAGCCATTTGCATTACAGTGCGGGCCAGGTAACCAAACATACAGAGGAATGATCACTCAACCTTCGCTAAGTGAGTGCGTCAAGGCAACACCATCTTACCCATTTACAAAATTACAAAATTACAAGCCAGCCTTAGCAAAGCGGACGTCAGACTGGAACATTGTTTAATGCTTGCGCTGTAACGTATCAAGCACCATCTAGCTGACGAGGCAGGTGCTCATGACCTTAAGTTCTGGTTATCAACAGCTATACTAATCTCCATGTGCCTGCTGGTGCAGCTGTCGATCAAGTATCGAACTTGGTAATGGCAGATTCCCATCTCGCCAGGGCAGATGCGCTGTGCAACTGTCAAGGCTTCCAAACAATAAAATGGCGAGTCATTGGTCCCAACGGCGCCAGCTCAGTGTTGCAGAAGTGAACTTTCAAACTCCCATGATTCTTCGAATTGATAGTGCCACTACCACTTCACCATATACTTTTCGGATCCTTCGCACTAGCGAAGTCGCGTGGAAGGGATTCACAACTCGTCGGCAAAAGACGACGTACCCGCTGCAGGTTTTCTGGCTTCCCAGAATCTCGGCGCTCGGTCTCAATTGACATGTTTCAATTTTTAAGTGAACTCTTTAGCTCTTTGCACACGCACTCATACAAGCTGATATTATATTCCCACGCAGTTCCGAGCCGTCTCACTGCCGTTAAAAGCTGAAAGTTGGTAGCTCAGCTACATGGAAAGATTGATAAGCTGCTTCGTCTTTAAGCAAAGCTAATGTGCCACACAAATCATATAGCACTTTCCCTATTATGTGTACGTACATATCGGGAGTCTTTTATAGTCACGAGTTTTTGATAAATGAAAAGTTGATATTTTGGCTTATAGCGTGTCACGTCCAAGCCAGTGGTTTTCCCAAAACTCATTCCAAAATCTACTGGCTCGAGTAAATATGTGAAGCAAATCTGTGCGATTGTTGGCGCGGCAGGTAATGCGTTTCCTGTGGACATTGACACGGATCAGTTGGTGGGAAACCTCAAGAATACAATAATAAAAGCCGAACGATATCAAGGGCATCGACAAAAAATGATTAGAGTTCTATCTGGCCAAGACACGTGGCAAAATGAGGCTGGCGTAGCTTCTGTGGCGCTTGACTAAATG